TATATATATATATATATATATATATATATATATATATATCGATTGATTTCAATGATAAATTTTTGCTAAGCATAGGCACGAGAACATATTTATTCGGGCAGAGTGACGCTTCAATTATTTACTTAGTTTCTAACAAAGATGTTACGCATTGAAAACGACACAAAAATATGCAATCATTGAAGCTCGCACGAACTATCAATTTTTTGGCAAGGGAATATTGTTTTTTAATCCAGTCAAATCTCATTTTATTTGTATCTTTTTTTGGCAAATTAATTCATTATAATAATAATAATAATAATAATAATACAAGATTTTAAAAAAGAGTGCAATAATACAGCCAATATTTAATGATTATGAAAAAATTAAGTATAAGGAATATTCACTTCTTCTCTACAAGAAAAAAAAAAGAAAAAATTGATTTTTTTCATAAAAAAATTTATGTTAAGGTGTTTATTACAATTAAATTATTTAAAAAAAAATATTATAGGAAAAAAAATTAACTTCATTTTAAAAATTTATAATTGAATTATGATACTTAATATTGGCAAATCAATATTAATCAACCACTTATTCTTAAAACTTATTTAATTGAAAAACTTTTTATTAAATGAGTCATACCAAATAAATGGGGCATTTGCATATATAACATTAGAAATATTTTTATTAACAAATATAACATTAATTTTCATCTATTTTTTAAATTCTCACTTAAATTTCAAAATTCATCCTAAAATCCTAACCTAAATTTTCCTTTTCTATCGAATTATTAATGATTTAGGGTCTGTTTGGGGCAGCTGTAGCTTATTGAATAATCTGCTGATAAGTTGATTAAAAATAATCTACTGATAAGCTAGATGTGGTGGATGTGGTGGCTATTACAAATTTTATTTTTATTTTTTTTATTTTTGGAAAACTCAGACCGTAGCCAAAAAGCTATCATCGCACCTAGACAGGTGAGGTGTGAAAATACTGTTTTCAGCGATTTGAAAACGCATGTGCTACCAAAATGTAGTTTACCCAAACAGGTCAAGTGTATTTTCAAAACGTCACTACACCAAATAAACTGCCTCAAACAAACCCTTAACCGTGATACAAGGGCATAAATACACCCATTAAATAGTCTTCAGAATATCATCCAAGTGTTATTTTGTAAATACCATTATTTTGAGTGATGTGTTTGTAAATAAAATATTGGTATTGAATTGATATGTTTACTAGTGACACAATCAAATAATTGATAATTTGATAAAAATGAAAAAATATGTGCTGAAAATTTATCATACATTTTGATATTTTAGTGAGAATGGAAAAAAGCCATTAGATTTGTAAAAACCCATATCTTGGGTAATATTTGTAAATAGCCCAAACATATTACACCTAATTAAAAAAAAAACAGGACAGTCCTTCATAATTGAAAGAATAAAGTAATTAAAAGGTAAAAATTTAAAAAAAAAATGGGACTAATTACATGTAGACCATACAAAAGTATTGATATTTATAAATTAATCGTCAAAGTGGCTTTATTTCTAACAAAGGAATTGATATATTTATGTGTGAAAATTAATAATAAAAATAAAAATATGTGGGCGCTCAGCTCGCTAAAAAATACCTATATTCCTAGAAAGTTAGAGTTTTGACTAGGGCTATCAAAATGGCTCGTTGTTCATTAACAGCTCATGTTCGGCTCATAAAAAAGCTCGTGTTTGACCCGTTCACTAGGTTAACAAGCCGAACACTAACAAAGAACAAAGATTTGTTTGTTCGTGTTCGGCTCGTTTTGACTCGAAATACTACTCATCCATTATATATATAAATAAATATATATATTGATGAATAGTATTTTTAAAACATTAACCGAGTGCATGGCTACAAAAATTTCTAATCAATTAAAAGTATTAATTAAAAAAATAGAATAAAAAATATTAAATTAGATTCAATTGATGTTTTAATATAAATAATAAATTTTAAATCTTGACTAAACCCTTAGCATCTTATGGTTGTGATTAGGATTGTCAAAATGGCACTTTGTTCGTGAACAACTCGTGTTCGACTCGCTAAACAAATGAGTCGAACATGAACACACTTTTTGAGCTTGAAATATAAAAGAGCCGACCGCGAGTACACCCTTAGTTTTGGAGAAATTATTGCGTACGGACACTGCATGCATCTCTGCACATCTCTGCATGCGGTGCCGATCCTGACCGTAGATCACGGTGATCTACGGTCAGGATTATTTTCGTTTTTTTTTTAAAAATTTAGGTGGGGCCCACCGAAATACATCGAGACCGTAGATCATGTGATTTATGGTCCGGTTGATATTTTATCATGAATTTCAATATGTAAGAGAGCATTTGAAAAGTGAGCGAAAAAGGAGGGTTGGGTTTGTAAATAGTAAATTTTGGATGGTGGGTTTGCAATAAAAGCTTTCCTTTTTCCAAATAGAAGGAAAGGGAATGCTCTTTCCTTTCCCATGTGACCTCTCCTTCCTCTTTCGTACTCCAATCCAAACTGCTCGCTCTGCAGTCGAGAAAACCCTAGAGAGCGGAACCACTATCGCTGACAGAGCGACTGAGGAGAGATAAAGCATGATCCCACTCCACTACCATCCTCTCTGCTCTTCTTCTGGTTAAACGCCCGGCAGAGGAAAACCGAACCAGTAACTCTCTTACAAGCCGCAAGACCCTTTTACTTTATGGTTTCTGCTTTCCGCGATTTCCCTCTTTGTTTCTATAAACAAGAAGAGGTGGAGGGGAGTAGGAGCTGATATGTTGGCCGTCGCTGTAAGAATGGCGATCGCGGCGGTGGAGGCTGCCATGGCGGAGGAGGTGGAGGAGAAGGGGTTGGGCTTGAGGAGGAGGCTTGTGAGGAGGATTTACTGGAAGCTGAGAGCGGAGATTCGACGGAGATCTGGTAAGCGGGAGCGATTTAGCTCTCGATATGATCCTTTCAGCTACGCTCTTAACTTCGATGATGGTGATTCGTGTCTTGAGAGTTTTTGATCCGTATCATGCATCGATCTCGTCCTATCTTTTCCTATCCTATCTTTGATTTCGGGTTCAGCCGTTGTGTAAATGGGTAATGTTTTAAGGATTAGGGTTCTTGATTTCTGTGCTTTGAGTTGTTTCTATGCATTGATGAAGGTCAAATAGTGGATTAAAATGGTGACTGCTCGCCCACGAGTTTGAATCTTAGATTCGTTTTTTTTTTTTTTTTTTTTTTTTTTTTTTTTTTTTTTTTTTTTTTTTTGTTGGG